TCCGGTCGCCTTTCTTCATCCTCCATTTGGATTCAATGTAGTTGAGTTCGTACCAGAGCGAAGAAGACGACGTGTTTCCGAACCGGTGCAACGTCATCCTGGAGGCCTCCACGTGCTCCGACGAGAGCTGAAGGTTCTTATGGAGATCGTCGATCACGGTCAACAAACGGTCAAATAGATGGAGGACCAAATCGTGTTAAAATTGCAAAGTTAAGGACTTAATTGGTTGAAATTGAAAGTTGAGGATCAATTTGTGAATTTAGCTATAGTTGAGGGACCATTTTAGGTATTTACTCCTTTAAAAATATGTAATTAGGCCCTTCAACTTGTTATTTTGAGTCAAATAAGTCTAATAACAGATTTTTCACTTGGAATAACCGGTCAAAAAATTCCGGCGATATTTCCGAAGATATTTTCGGTGACAACAAAATTTAAAAAAAAAAAAAAAAAAAAACCTACCGTAGAAGAAAACCATTCGGTTGTTTTCTTCGGTGGAGAAGGCGACCAGACTGGTCGCCTTCTCCGATAGGGTTTTTTTTTTTTTTTTTTTTTTTTTTTTTTTTTTTTTTTTTAATTTTGTTGTCGCTGGAAATATCGTCGGAATTTTTTGACCGGTTATTCCAGGTGAAAAATCTGCTATTGAGTTTATTTGACTCAAAATAACAAGTTGAAGGACCTAATTGCACATTTTTAAAGTTGATGGGCCTAATTGGTCTTTTACATATAGTTTAAGGGTTTATTTGACCCTTTTCTCTTTAAAAAATTTTACGATTTTTGTGACAAGACACGAATTTCATTCCAATTAAAAACATAAAATCATTGCAAAATCCAAAACTTAACAAATTAATCAGAATTAATAAAGACATTTTGTGCACAGAGTCGTCTAAACATGAATTACTATAAATTTAATGAATAAAATATTACATACACTCCCATTTCTTACTTCCAACTTGTACTCCATCTCACAAATTTTTAATGAAGACACATTCTTTGGGACCCACATGATGAAAATAGCCCATCTTTGTTTGTCATGTCATATAGTACAAGTGATGGAGTAGAATTTGAGAATAAATGTAGTAGAATTCAAAAATTTATGATGACACGACAATGTTAAGCCTATATGTGGCTAATATTACATTTAATTATTTTTTTAATACTCTGACTCTATTACAATGTAGTATCTGTTCTTAACAACTTTATCAACCTACTAAGCACAAAGAGTCAATAACGCATCCACTGAGGAGGCAAACTCGCAACCTCCCATATGGAAGTCCAACTTGGGTGCCATGAGCACAAGGTGCTTAACATATTACATTTAATTATTATTTGTTCTAATTATACTCCGGTAGAAAATGTGTGTTAGAATAATTGTTAGAGTTAATTACCAAAATGGTCCTTTGACTATAGCGAAATTATCAATTTGACCCTTGAATATTTTTTTGACCAATTAAATCCCTTAACTATAAAAATCTTAACGAATTTGGTCATCCGTTTGTTTGACCGTTAGTCAATCATTAACTTGGGACCAAATTGATAATTCGCTATAGTCATCAAGGGACCATTTTGATAATTAACTGTAATGGTTATAACTCCTTCCTACTTGCCTATCGTACTTAGCAGCCCAATAATTTATTTATTTTTTAAAAATAAAAGAGATGTGGGGTCGGTCCTATCCGGCGCCGGAGGGCCGGACGGGGAAAGGGCCATAACAGCTAAAGGACAACCGGCGGGGAGTCTCTGTCTCTGTCTCTGGTAGTTGACTGATAGTGAGGGGTGAAGTTTTGGCACCACATTTGTCAGAACATTATTGGATGCTCCAAGACGGTGCTGACGTGGGGCCGTAGTTATTGGCCCACCCCGACCAAAGCCACATCAAATCACCAACAGTACTATATATATACTTGCATGTTCTCTCAATATCTTCACCTCATTTTAAATTAATCCAAATTTTATACTTTTTCCGTTCTTTTAATTAATAAAAATGATTGTAATTTTAATCATAAGAATGGAGAAAGATTAAGTTTTAACTATATTATTGTATTAGTAATTGTCTCATGCAATGCTATGTCGAGTGAAGGGTAGGGAACTCTTAAGAGTGAGAATTCAATTTTTTGGGAGAAATTTATCTAACGTGATAACATTGGAGAATTGTACATGATAAAATTATATATTCTCTAAAATGATAAGATCAGTGTGAGTTGTACATGATACAACTATATATAATTATAAATATATAATTCGGCTTTCTCAAAATTTCCATATAATTTATCTATATTTTTTTAATTAATTTTTTAAAATAAAATTTCAGGAATATTTAATTTTTATTTGCTAAGTGAATGTTATGTTATTACCCATCGTTATACGGTAGATCATAGTTACGTTATATTGAAAGATGAATTATTACTATACATGTTTATTTTTAATATATACTATTTAAAAATGAATTGCTAATATACTAAAAATAAATATTTATGAATAATTTATCATGTAATATAAAGCATAATTTAATATTACGGAATACGACTAAATTGATCGGCAAATTATATTGTGGAGGTGGACACGGTTCCAAAACTGTTCATAATTATAAATATATAGTTCAAAAATTATGAATATATAGTTCTATAATTATGAATAGAGTTGTGAACATAGTTTTATAATTATGAATATAGAGATTCAATAATTGTGAATATGAAATTCAAAAATTATGAATATATTACTTTATAATTATGAACATATAGTTCAGTAATTACGAACATAGAGTTCTGTAATTGTGAATATAGAGTTCAATCATTATGAATATAAAGTTCAAAAATTATGAATATATAACTTTATAATTATGAACATATAGTTCAGTAATTATGAAAATAGAACCGTGTCTATCTTGCAAGGTGGACCACGTCGTAATGATTGCCATTAGTCCATTACAGTTTCTTTTCAATTGTTAGGCCCATGGTTTTACCTATCAGAGCCCACTAAATGTCGTGATGCATAGCACGTATATGAATCGTGAATCTGGCCTAATCCTAAACTAAACGCAAATTATGCCATGGAATCGTGTTCACCGAGAATGGTTAACACAAGGCAAAAAACGACGTCGTTTTTAGGTAAAAAAAAAAATAAAAATCACGGATGTGGAGTTAACGGCGCACGTTTGATCAAATTATGAATTTTCTGTTATGAGATTATGAATTTTATAAAAATTCATAATCTCATAACAGAAAATTCATAATCGCATAACAGAAAATTCATAATCTCACAACTGAAAATTCATAATCTCATAACAGAAAATTCATAATCTTATAACAGCAAATTCATAATCTCATGGTTCCAAAGTGAATGTGTAGGCATGGTTCCAAAGTGAATGTGCAGGCATGGATTCATAATTTATGAATGTCCGTGATTTCGGACGGGAATGTGTAGGCATGGTTCCAAAGTGAATGTGCAGGCATGAATTCATAATTTATGAATGTCCGAAATTATGAATGTAATGAAAATTCATAATCTCATAACAGAAAATTCATAATCTCATAACTGAAAATTCATAATCTCATAACAGAAAATTCATAATCTTATAACAGAAAATTCATAATCTCATGGTTCCAAAGTGAATGTGTAGGCATGGTTCCAAAGTGAATGTGCAGGCATGGATTCATAATTTATGAATGTCCGTGATTTCGGACGGGAATGTGTAGGCATGGTTCCAAAGTGAATGTGCAGGCATGAATTCATAATTTATGAATGTCCGAAATCTTTGTTCACCTCAAATTAAAGTGAAACCGCAAAATGTGAAAATAAAGAAGAAAAGTCACACAATTAATTAAGAAAAAAAAAAAAAAAAGATAACGGTGTACTAACACCGTTGGAACCGTTATCACCATGCATAACGTCTGTAAACTAAATTCTATACCGGAAAGTATAAATTAGAGTATACCGGTTAATGCGATTACACATCGATTCTGAAAGAAATTGTAGAGTGATAATATAGAGGTATAGTTTAGTTGAGTAGTGAAAGTTTAAAGCTCAACTAAATTTTTTTATTTTTATTTTTATTTTTAAAAGAGAGTTAATATCCAATATAGTGGTTTTATTCAATTTAATCATATGTAATTTTTTGTGTTTAATTGAGTCCTCGATTATGATAGTTTTGCTCAATTTAGTCATCTGTTAACAATTCCGTTTGTTAGACACTTAGAGCATCCGCATCAATGCATTTTGGTGTGGTTTTTGAGGAGACCAAACTTAAGTGGATGAGAGAGAATAACAAAAGTCTCCTCCAATGCTTTGAACTGTGGGACCCACCATGGAAGAACAAAAGTCTCCCTGGTTCGCGTGAAGTGAACCACATCGCCCAGCCGGGCGCGTTAAAGAAGCTTTTTTTTTTTTTTTTTTTTTTCTCTTTTTATCTTTCATCCATAGTCTCTTTCTTAGTCACACCTGCAAAAACTCCTAAAAAACCGCAACTATTAGTAATGCTTTGCCAATAGAAACAGGGTTAGCATGGTAATTTCTCATCTCTCACCTCTTACCTCTTACCTCTTAAACTACTAGATTCTCCAACTTTGCTTTAGACTTATACATGCGAAGCTCTTGTAAGCTAAGTTTAAAAGTTAACCTATAATTATGGAGTATATCATACACTACATGTTCAATTGCATTCTTTATTAAGGTGATCAAGTTCAATTTAATTCATTACTCGAAATACTAAGTTAGAGTTTGGCTTAATAGTAACCAAATCGAGTTCATTCACATACCTAAATGGTATGTAAACAAGTGTTAACCCTCATTTAGTGCCATGATCTCGACCTAGAACTTCATACAAAGTGGAAAGAATAAAAAAAAAAAAAAAAAAAAAAACCAGTGTTTGTTGAACTCCCAAATGAGAGGTTGTGAGTTCGAGCTTCGGTGGAGGCGTTATTGGCTCTTTGTGCTTCAGTAGGCTGAGAGAGTAGTTATGAACATATACTGCATTGTAACAGAGTCAGTAGCATTCAAAAAAAAAAAAAAAGATAACTCAACTCCCTAATACATTTGGAAGTATACAATGGTTTCAATTACACTCAGAAAAGAAACATATATCCTACCTACCAAATCTAGGGGCTCCTGCGCCTAACCTGTCTTCCTTAATCCTTATTCCATTTTGTACAACTCAAAGCCTGTCTTCCTTACTACCATAATACACAACAATAACAATAATACAATCAAAGATTTGATCTTAATATAAATGGCTTAAGCCCCTAAAACTAAAATTGTTCTCACCTCTAACTAAATTCAATCAAACAGATGGCTACTTTGTATGGGTCCTCAACCATGGCTGACATTCACCATGAGTCACTCCTTCTTCCCCAGCTTTTCTTCTCATTTCTGTGACTTCCTTGTGAGAGCTGGAGTGTAAAGAAGGAACGAACGTGGGGCTAGCCGCGGGTCGATATTCGGGAAATAGCCGTCCAGAACGGTACCGAACTCCACAGGCATTGCAGAGTGTTTTTGGCCCCATTGGTCCCTCCCTCCACTGTGGGGTTTTTGTAACTTCACAGTGTAAGCATTTTTTAACTGGAAAACTCTGCCGTCCCTTCTGCTCACAAGGATCTGATGCAGCTTGGTTCGCCTGTGGGTTTCTGATGTCCTTTGCAGCAATTGATCTCTGCGACAACTTTCGCTCTCGTTTCTTTTTGGTGCTGGCAGAAATAAAATGCCATGGTTTGAACTTTGAGCATCTCATGCGTTTGGACCGAGTGCCTACTGGGACTATGAAGTTGGATTTTATGGCCTCGATCATTTTGCCCAAGTAAAGAGCACGGTTCTCAGAGATGCGGGTTGGGGTTTGTGTCTGAAACATTCCAGATTTGTGGTCGGAATATTTATCGGGACAAAGAAGGGCTGCACCAGAGGCTTTTTCACCATAATTCAGCAGCTGATTTTGCCGGGAGATGTTGTCGACCTTCGGGTAGAACAAAGTAGAACAATCAAACAAGCTAGAAAGAAGCAATTAAGGAAAAGGAGATTTCTTTTCGTGTAAAGTATTAACCAAAACTTCTACACACGTCATAATTGGCTTCTCTAAGAAAACTTTAAGCTGAAAGTATAATGAACTTTTTATTTGGCTTGACATAGCTACGCTTCAACATAAACTAATTAGCTCTTGGAAGAAAAAGCAGTAAATCCTGTTTGCAGAACAGAGTTAGCCAGGAAAGCATAAAACGCTTTAAATGTTTAAAAACTATTACTATTAATAATGCCTAATGCTATTATTGCTATAACCACAACCAGAAAAGCATATTTGTGTTATGTTACTATATACGTGCCTACTTCCTTTTTTGTGAGACTCTCACTTCTTTTCAAAGTTTATAGGGGAAACGAGCGATGAGGTGTGGAAAACTTAACTATCTTTCACAAGAGTGTCTCAGAGTGACCTCGATGATTGCATGCTTTCCATGGAAATATCTTATACAATCCTCCACAGCAGTAACTAACTCTGAAAACAAGTTATTCTTCACTTAGCAGCAAAAGGTGCCAGCCTAGAGTCAGGCCTAAAATGGCACTCGGGATTGCATTGCACTAATTCAAAGTTCAATTGTTATATTTTCATAAATTCTGATTTTGAACATGTATGTTCATCCCTAAACTCAGCACAGGATACATATTATATTTAGTATAAAACGCATTCAGGAATTGCATAATCAGAAAAACTAGTAAAGGAAAACGCATAATCAGAAAAACAAGGGGGGGAAGAGCATGCCAAAACATTTATGTACAACTGAAAAAAACACATGAATCTACAAAGCATTCAAGCATAAAAAGTTGCAGGGTTAAAAGGCTGAACAACTTACTGAAGCCTCTGACTTGATCGTTACACCCAACGACCCGTTTCCAGTATACAGTTGGGGAACTGGCTGCAAGCCCATTAAAGCGTCGGAAGGGATTGGCCCAAGGCATTGCAAATTAGCATCCCAATCGTCATTGAAGCCATCTCCTTCCAAACTCTCCATGGGAAAATCCAGAATACTGAGCAAGTCATGAAAGTTGTCATAGCCGCCATTGGCCCCGGTGGCAATCCCATCCCAATGACCGGGTTCAACCATACTCATCTTCTGGAATGCAAACACAAAGTTAAAGAAACTATTAAAGCCTATGACTATGACTGTACACCAAGAATCCAATAAAGGCCCATACACAAAAAGACATATGCCCATATTAGGAGATGATATGATTGATAAGATACCTTCCAAAGCTAAGAAGGAAATTTACAGCAAAAGATATGGAAAGAGAAAAAAAAAAAAAAAAAAGGATTATCACATATAGCCATATAGGGGTATTGGGCATTTTGTATATCTACAGCATTTTTAAGGTAGAAATTTACTACAATGCACCCTCATAATATTTCCAAAAAGAGTAATGTTTCATTCCCCATATGTTGTGGTGACTTTATGTGATTGACACTTATCTACAAATTTGAGACAGAATTCAGTAAAAATGATTTAAGGAAAGTAGCATTTTCCTTCCCAAAAACCATATACACTACAAAAATAGGTCTCTTTTGATTCTGACCATCATAACAATCTTTCTCCCTACATGTTACTGATTTCCTTTTGCATAATACAAATAATGCACAGAAGAAAAGTCTTTAAAATATTTTTAAAAAATGAAAAAAAAAAAAAACTAGAAAATAATATGAAAATCTGAAATCTCATAGAATCTTTAGTAGAAATAGCAACTAAAGCACCCTGCATAAAAATGTTGGGAAGCGTTTCTTTTTAATTTTTTCCTAAACTTCTACTCAAAATGCAGTACGACACCGTTTCCCTGTCTGTCGCTTTACAGTTCCCAGAATAGTACAATCACCTAGCAAACACAGAACAGAAATATTTCCTGTTTGGCAGCTAAGAAATGCAAGAACTAAAAAAAGCCATAGATACCGGATTCTGCATATTTCAGAAGACTAAAGCGAAAGAACAGTAATGGATGAAATTAATGAGCAAAACTAAGAACTTTTTACCTCATATTATCAGCAGCAAACAGACCAAATAAAAAAAAAAAATTAAAAGAAGAGTTGAAAGCAGAGATGGAGAAAATTGGGTGTAATATTGGATAGAGTTGAAGAAATGGGAATGGAGAAACACGATAAAAAGCAATTTTTTTTTTTTTTTTGGTTTTAGCATGGACAATAATTGGTACTTACCATGAAGCTTAAAACCCTAGATTAGGGCATTGGACATTATTTCAGGAGTTTTGCAGAGCGAACAGTGAAAATAACGCAAATTTGGGAAAAAGAAGCTAAATGTACGTTAGGTTTTGTTTATTTTACTTTTGTCTAAATCTGACGTGTCCTGATTGTACGTTTTATAATGTAATAAAAAGCTTTGAATGTGAAGTATTGTTACCTAATTCAGAATGTAGACTCTCACTTTTTTTACTTCTAAGTTTGTGATGTGAACATTTTTTTTTGATTATTTACATGATGAAAATAGTTTATCATTATTTGTTACATAAGGAATAAAAGTGAGGGGATAGAATTTTAAAATATACATAGTAAAATTGACCTAATTCGAGTGATTTATTGTCTTTGTCTAGACTAGAGTTTGGTAGAAAGAATAAATTGCTAAATTTTGAGATGACCCAAGAAGACTTATTAGATGAATGATGGATAACTAAATTGATAGAAATTTTTTATTATCGGTTATGAAATTATTATTTTTTAATTATTTCAATATGTTGTTGCTATTTTGATGATTGAGAGTTGAATAGTCATTTAAATGTAGGGATAGACAATGATTATCGGTTATGAAGTTAAAAAAAAATGTTACTCAACACCCATAGGGCCTATTCCATAGTCCATATCCTTTTCTTCTCGATATGAATAAAACCTTGCATAGTATTATTTTGATTTATGTGAAAACCCACATCCTTGATCAGAATGTACACAAGTGAAGTCTGCCTTGAGACATTAGTCGCTGAAGATAAATTAACCTAGGTTACTTATAGCTGATCGATCCAAACTAAGAAAATCAATAGACAACTCTCACTAAAAGTCTAATGTAGAATATTATGGTTACTAAGTCAAATGTCCAACAAATTTTGTATTGAAAGATAAATGTTTAATATTCTTTATAAGTCTCATTTGAGGTGATATTAAACTATAGAATACGTTCTATTATAGTTTGGACTCAACTTTTTTTTTTTTGAATACTATTGACTCTATTACAATGTAGTATCTATTCTATACTTTCTTTAACTACCACAGTCCAAAGAGTTAATACCTCACCATCAAGGTTCGATCATGTGAAAATGTATATTTATTTTATCGTTTTAAAATAAAAAAATTGAAACCACGGATTGAGATTGATGAGGTGAAGCTATTATTGGTAGTCCGTATTATTTTATGAGGTTGCAGATTCATGTGAATGGTGTAGCAAAGTGGGCGTTGATTATGGATCTAATAGGAAAATGATGCGTGATTGTCGTACTAAAACCAGCATTATACGAGATTCATTAGTGTACAGTACAACATTCATTATGATAGTTTGGCACTAAGTTATGATAGTACCAAACACCACATCATAGCTATGTTTAATGTATGTACGTGAATTCTAATTTAATATAATAAAAAAATAGGAAAATTTGTTTTTTGGTCTTTTTTTTTTTTTTTTTTTTTTTTTTTTTTTTTGTTCTTCTAATTATATACTTATAGTACAAATTTAGTCTCTCTAAGTTATATGTAAAGTGGCGAGTTTAGTCACTGAAGGACCAAATTTGTCACTTTATTTAGTGACATTGATGGCAAAAATAGTCTCCAAGAAATTGGAATTATCACTTTAGGCATAACTTAGTAATTAAAAATGATCACACATATAACTTATGAATCAAGTCTGTACTATAAGTATAACTAATGACCAATTTTGCCATAAATATTAGTTGGCAGCCCTAGCAGTAAGGACAAGGCTTCACCATATTGCATCATGACATCTCTCTCAGTGCACCAATTCCATGCAACACTTTGTCTGTCAAGAGATGTGGGGCTCCCTTTGGTGTCCTGTCCCTCACTACCAATGAATTGTAGGTGTTGATGAGCTGGGAGTGGATCCAAAATAAATTGGATTGAGATGGGCAAGAACGTGCTTCTTTACTTGTATGGTACACGTTTCGTTTATCATAACGAGACGAAAATGGTTATGACTTCTCATTTCTGTATTGTAATATTATACATTTCTTTGCCAGCATTGACAGTTCAGTTGATTATAGAAGTAAAATTTAAGAAGAATATTATACAGGTTTCATAGCTTTCCTCATTGAAAACAAGGCCACATTCATCTCTCTCAAATTCACCAATAGTTTGAGACAATTGGTAAATGTACTCCTAATGTAATCACAAATCACAAAGGTCATCAAACACTTACCACTACGTCAAAAGGTATAGTTAGTAACGAATGTGCAACTTTATTCCTTATACCACCACATATTTTCAAAAACTAAGATGCTAGACTTGACACTTTACCAGTCTTCGCTCAACAATCCCCCTAACCACATGGTGCTGGACTTGGCCTCTACCGGTCTCTGCCCAATAATGTTAAAGAGTTATAGACCATATTTTCTCAAAATCCAGATTAATCGGGTTAAACTTTTAATTGAAACAGAACACATCCTTCAACTTGGTTGGTTCAGATGAGGATGGGTTGGAGTAAAATATACTCCGTAACATGTTAAATCTCAATCTTGAGTAAACCCCAGTACTAGAATTGTGTATTCACAACAATATACTATAGTAACATCATTTGGTTGGTCTAAATGAAAGAATGGGCAACATCCACATGTTACTTGAAATGTGTGTGATTCTGTGCAAATCAATAGATAGATGTGATGTGAAGCTTTCCTTCAATAGAAGAGGAAGAATCCAAGGAATATACATCATCAAGGTTTCACAATAACTGCTTTTGAAGCATCCAGATGGTTAAGACGACAGGTTCCCAGAAGATATTCTGGTAGCTCTTCTGGTGTGTTGGCCTGTTAACAACAACAACATTCATATATTTCTCAGAATCGGCTGTCAGAACATTCAAAAGCACAAAACATTTCCATATGATGTTTGTAAAGTTACCTGTATGAGAAATGCCATTTCAATAACTAGATTGTTTAGGTAGCCTAGAACAAGGCCAACCACGCCCCTTGCCACGGTGGATGAACCGATATCGACTCCAAGCTGAAATTGCAGAAGAAAATATTTCGATCTCGTTTAGAACAAAGCACAATGAGCTAGCCTTATGTGCAGATCGAGGTCAGAGGAAAAAAGTTTCTGTTCAATGCAATGTTAAATTACTATTGCGATTTACCTCCAAGTAGTTTTTCCCGCGAAAGTAATTTATCTCTAACGCCTGGCCTATAAGGCACGCTTTCCGTCCAACACTCTGTTTGACAATCCATGACCCCTGAGGAGAGACAACAATTGGTTTGAGACGATAAGTGTAGGACAATTAATGGGCACAAGTTCGTACTCAAAGGACTAAAATGGAAGCAAGCTATTAAAATTAACCGGTATAGTAGGAAAAGTAGTTCCATGCAAAGTCAAGAACACAAACCTTGGATATATAAGGTATGAGCTTGAACCTCGAATTCCTATAAGAATCGTCCCCTTCTACAAAGCTTTTTAGCAAGGGCGTGTCTTTTAGAGGAGTATCCATCATATAGTATAAAGCAAGACTATATGTCGTCGAACCTGGGACCTGATTTGTCACAACTTTATTGTTAAATAATCTTAAATCTTCGAACGTTGATGAAAGAAAAACACATACAAGATAACATAAGACTGCCTTCACCTGTATGTTGAGAATGAAGAAGAATTCCGGGCCACCCTTTGCAGCATATTTCTACAGCATAAAGGTTATACATGTTAATCTCAGAGACAACCGCGCAATTGCAGTACAAAGTGGTATGAAAGTTGAGTGAGCTAAAATATTTTTGGATCGATGTGTTAGCCCAAAATAAATATTCGGAAAAACCTGAACAATGCCCCCTTGGCGGCCACCAAGATCATCTTCTCGTTTATCAGATTTCAGCCAATCTGCACCAACCATTTGCATCAAGGTGCCTTTTGCTTTAATCTATGAAACATCGTACGGAGAAGAGACAATATGAGGATCTAAAGATGCACTTTTTTAGTAAGCATTTAAGAGATGACATGTAAGAGCATATTAAATGATTCAAACACCTGTTGGTGTAAATAATTGTGACAACACTTGGAGCATATTAAGTGACTTCAGATTTACAACCAAGACATAGACTAACCACAATTGAACCAGAAACTAGTTACTCAGATGACTGAGAGCTGGCTAGATAATTATCTGGTTGCAATTTCTTATCATAAATCTATTACTCCAATGTTAAATATTAAAGAACTGGACCTGCCCATTAATACAAAGTTATTCAAAGAAAAATTGATTCAAAGTCGGGTTTAATGTAAGTCACCTTCTTACGATCATCTAAATAAGTCTCTCCACGAATTAGAAATGTAGAGGGATCTGTTTCGGTCCAACTGCAAAGCGAATTACAAAGTGGATCTTTTGGAAGAGTGGATCCATAGTTGCATGATGAACAATCTTCCCTCGCCAACTCATGCAGGTCTACATAACCCCTCTTCTGAACTGCAAAAGAAAAGGATCTTGAGCTCTCAGGTATTCAAAGATGACGTAGGTTCTCAAAAGAAGCCTATCAAACTAACCTGCAAGATCATGCAATTTCTTCACAAAAACAGCAGCAGTCGACACTTTTGGATGGCGCGTATCCTGAAAAACCAACTATCAGCAAAACAATTGCTGAACTTCCAGGGAAGAAACATCTGAAGGCACAATAAGGCAACCAAATATACTGACACTTGGCAAATAGAGCACCAACACCAGGTAAAAGATTCTAAAATTTTAAATTGCATAAGCAAACACAAGTCTGAGTGTTGATATATAATTAACAAGTTATTGACATGTAAATTCATGGATGTTTAATTGAATTTTCATCCGCAAGCAGCATGAAGCTAAGTCTTAGTTGAATTGTTATAACCAGTGTAGAAGTAAATTTATAATGTAACAAGGTAGCTATGCCCCATAAAAATCCACTTCGTCACATATGGAGTGCTATCACATTGAAAATGCCAAATTGTACCACTTTACCTGAGAACACATCTCTGGCCCAAAATCAGAAGCCCAACCGTTTTCTGATTGCTCACAATCTAGTGGTTCTGGGACATCAAAAAACTCATCTGCAGCATCATTTAACCC